CGGGGGGGTTGGGGTCGGGTCCGCGGGCCGCGAGCAGTGGCGTCTGGCGGACGGGTGGCGTTCGGTTGGGAGAAGGCGCCGGAGCGCCTGGTCTCTGGCGCCGGGCGCCGGACGCCGGCAGGGTATCGTGAGGGACCGCCGCGGGTGCGGGGGAGGCGGAGCTGCGCCTCTTGATGCCATACGAGTTCCGGGGCTCTCGCACACCCCCTGGTGACACTGCCGGCGCCTGACGGCGCAGTTTCTGCTCCGGCGTGTCTCCGAGCGTCGTGCGGCGCGCCTTGACCCCGACGGCCGGCGGCGAGGTCACCGACACCGTGCGCCGCTTGGGGGGCGAGCCGCCGACGCCGACGGACGACGACAGCGACGCGGCGCGGCGCGGCGCCGGCCCGGCGCGCGGCGCCCCCGCCGTCGCGTCGCTCGCGACGCCCGCCGCCGCGCCGTTCACGACCGCAGCCTCCAGCGGCCGGCGGCGCCCGAGCGCAGCTCGCTCCATCGTCGCCGACGACCGAATACGGAGCGTCGGCGCCGACGCCCGATCGATGACGTCGACTGCACCGGCTGACACCGCACTGGCCACGGTCTCCACTGCGAGGCGGCTCGCGCGCGACTGTTGCGCCGCTATCGCCGCTTCCTGGGCGGCGCGCGGCGGCGCGAAGCCTGCTGACCGCACCGGCGCGCACAGGTGGCGCTAGCGTCGTGGTTCGGCCGCCACCGCCGCCACCGCCGCAGTCAAAACAGTGCCGACGATGATGGGAACTGTGGCTAGGCACATATCAGCACGTGATTCAGGCGACCGCGGCCCTGATTGGCTTGATAGCGAGCCAGGTTCCGTGGAGTGTTTGTTCGAGATATTCCCGGGCCAGATCAATGTCTGACCCGTGGGGCACGGGTGAACGGAAGGAAATTACGACGGAGAAAACGTGGCGACGCCCTTGCGCCGACAAAGAGAACCAGTAGCTACACAATAATCATCGTTACCGTTTTCGATACAAGAACCGGTCCGAAAGGCCAGATCGCACGGTAACAACAAGGTGTAAAATACTGCGGTGTAAAGGAAGAGCAGGCCGATACGGGGCCTTCCGGAGGTGGCCCATGGTTGAACGTTTTTTGGGGAGTTGATGAAGGCAGGACACAGCTACAGAGACGTTAAAGCCCAGCGTAGTCAAGTGGAAAATAACGGATGACCTAATCGGTCTTATCGCTGTATTGCAGACATCGTCCGTGAGGCGCGGATCAGTCTCAGGTTGGTGTAACCGGATCAGTCTCAGGTTGGTGTACCCGGATCAGTCTCAGGTTGGTGTACCCGGATCAGTCTCAGATCGGTCTCAGCGCCCCAGCCCCGAATGTTTGACCAGTCTCGTCAAAGTATACAGCCCTGGCATACGGCGTGAGAGCGTGAATCCGTTCTGTGGACTGCGTGTTGCACATGCCTAGTTGTCTATGGTTTGCCGATCCTCAGACTCTGGATGAACAACGCCATTTCTGTTCTAACTTTATGGCAGGAGCAGCCGCATTTCGTGCTTTTTGTGCTTGTACTTTTGCGCTTTTTGTGTTTTGTACTCATGCTCTTTGAGAAAAGGCACATTATTATCGCCAGATTTCAGGAAGCGCTATCTTCAAAGCGATTGATAAACCAAGGCATGCGCTGGTTAAACGACGTTATTTAGCAAACACCGCTCATCGTGTTAAAATTAGATACTTCAAGCCGTGGACACCGTCCAGTGAACACAGTTTAATAAGTCGGGTATTGACAATAGAACGAATGCCCGCGCCTTCCACGCACTGAAACAGAGACACTTTTCTCATTACCTGAATGCCTTGCAATGTTCTTGTCATTCCAAAAACAAAACATGACCTCCGTCCCATTTCACGGACCATGCGCGCGCCATCGGCGGAAAATCCGCGCCATTTCAGCTTCGCGCGGCAAACGCCGCTGCACCACGTGACTGCGGGCCGCGCACCACCGCGCCCATCTCGGCGCCAACCACGAGCAGCCCGGCTCTGCCCCCCCCCCCCCCCCCCCTCCTGCTGCCATCGGACGATGCGCCGGCACGAGCGCTGTGCACTGGTGCGCCGGCACGAGCGCTGTGCTCTGGTGCGCCGGCACGAGCGTTGTGCTCTGGTGCGCCGGCAGGAGCGCTGTGCACTGGTGCCCCGGTGCGCCGGCGCGCGGCGCGCGACGGAGTGGCCGCGCGTCACACTCGTCGCACGCACGCGGTTCGCGTTGTCCGTTGTGGTTTGGTGGCGCCCAGCGCCGACCGAGTAAGAAAGGCTGAGTTTGGGAAGCCCTGAAATGTTCGAAATGCTCTGGAATATCCCAGCTCTGAGGCCGGCCCGTCCTCATTGGGTGTGAGCCAAGCCGGCGCCGAGTCTGAAGCAGAAGTACTAGAAGCAGGGAGCACCTAAAAGTGTCCTCCAGCCATCCGACATGGTTTTGCTCTGCCTTGTAAGTGCATATGTAGATGGCGAAAAAATGTCTCAGACAGGTCGTCCAATAGCAGCTCGGATACTGCACGTGCACAGTGACAACGCGAGAAGCGGGGGCACTGATTCAGCCAAAACGCTGCGGTCACGAACGCCACAGCCGCAGGCTGGGAAGCGGCAGGCGGTGCCTACATGTGGTGTCGGCAGTTACCATAGAAACCACAGCGTACGCCTAAATGCCCACTTAATTACCTACGTCCGATTCGGGTGACTTCGTGCGCCGACAGGCATAAAGGCTTTATTATTGATAGGCGCCGTTCTTCGCGTACTTTTTGTTCGCGGTACCTAAGCACCCTCGCATCACACGGCTCGAAGGCCCACAAAAACACCAATCAACACCGGACACGTCACATAGAATCGAATGGCTGGACTTTGGACCCGGGTAAAAAGGCGTTTCCGATCGACACCGCGTGAGAGCCTTTCCGCACCGAGAGAGGTTTCGCGTGGATTAATCAGATTCGTCTTTGTGACCGTATGGGCATCGGTCGTGGGCAGCCGCCTGATGTGGCAGCATCGACTCGTCCCTTTGTCCAGGCTCGTGCAAACAGCCTGGCCGAATTCGTGCAAACTCATCGCGAAAGATCACGTCTGGCGGAGCCGCGTTCGTTGACACTGGCGTTGGACCCCCGGCGCTGGGCCGGCAGACGCTGGATGCGACGGGCACTGGGGCAGCGTGCAAACGGGCCCACCGGGTCAGGTCGCTGGCTTCTGCGGAAGTCATTATCGTCACGATCTCATGTGGAAGCGCGCCTCGGGACGTACTGAGCTCACCGAGGTGTGAAACCCTGCTCCGACGATTATCCAGTCCGGTCAAATACGCATGTAAATATCAAATGTAATAATTATCTATGTGAGTTACACTTTCAAGTCACCAAGAATGAGGACACATGCTGCGGGGTAGAAGCCCCTCGGGACAGTTCTGACGAGCTTTTCTCAGTGCTAGCACGGCCCGCCCCCCAAACCGTCAAGCGATACCTGGCTGGGCCGAACTGACGAGAACTTTGCGTCTGTACAGTGAGGAGACGATAGGTACGTAAAAGGTGCCGCTGATGGGGGGGGGGGGGGGGGGGGGCCGGCGCCCTGTCGACTGCGACGAATTTTTCAGAGGTCTTGTCGCACACACAATTTGTTTGGTCTTTCAAGCCATAAGATTGTCTCGCCCCCTCCATCCCACCCCCACCCCTACTCCATGGCAATGGGCTGGCGCTGCAGACGCCTCGCTTTGAAGACAACACCGGACCATAGCTGTAAGGACTATCGACATATCGGCCAGCTAGTACCCAGCCCGGTACAGGATCCACCGCACATGTGTTGCCTATATTGTTCGCCAGCGCCACGTGCCCCGTCGAAGGTTCGAGCCTCGAAGCAGGGCGAATGTTTCGCTACACCTTGCTCCGTAGAACGTCCGAAAAACAATGCCCAAATTCGCCAGCCAGTTGCAGCTTAAGAGAGTCATATCTTTGATGGCCGCGATGGAGATCGCCCAACACACCCTTTACCTAGATCTTTTCTATCGCGCGTAACTTTTTGAAACCATAAATGCTTGCCAACGACGTACATCACTGTATTGCGACGACGGGAGGAGCCTTCCAGTCAGTCTCTTTGCGTAGCAACGGCGGCGCCAAGGAACTCTGCCTTATCCGCGTGACCATTTTTTTTTTGTACGAGCCATGACCGGCGAAGGAGCGCCCTTCGCACCCCTGACACTGCGTTCGGGACCGACAGGCCAAGCCTGGCCGAGGACTTTAGTGCCATCTTTCGGCAAATATAGAAACTATTAGATCCCGGTGGCGACCAGCCGGTGGCACTGGGTTGGACCAACTAAACAGCTGTTTATGCCCCGGATGCAAAGAAAACCTGGTTTGGGAAGGTCCCTGGAACAAATATCCTTCATTACAAAGAGGGAAAATTACGTTTATTTCGATGAAAGTTTGTGTGGTCAGTGCCTGCCCGCCAGACGGCGTTCTGCACCCAAATGGGCTTGTTTGCGGCGGAATATGCGTTTGCTTTGATGAAGCACGTCAGCCGAGAAGGGGTTGTCCGCCCGTCTTCCATTATTTTCGTTCCGTGCTGCACGCTCACGGCGCCCCGCTTCTCCGGGGCAAACTACATACAGTAATACACCGGCCATGATTCCTATCTACGAAACTGGAAATTGGGTACGTTAGAACGTTGGAGATTGAAAATTGGAACGATGGAAATGAAAGTTGGAATTTGGGAACAAGAGTTCGTCCCCCTATTGAAACCCCATCATTGCTGGCCGAAAGGGCTCTGATCCCAACCAAACCAACCGAGGAGAGCTTCATGCGGACTAAAAGTGAGGCAGAAAGTTTAAGTTTAAGCTTAAGAAAGTTCGAGTTTCAGCTTTACCGCAAAGGAAAGAAGCCGATGGGGACTTCGGGCCAGTAATGGCGCAGACAGAAAGCAGGTGTTACCCGAAGGCAGCTCGCTGGTTCGGCACAAATCTGCATCGTTAGGGGGTAACGCTCACGACGACAAACTGCCAGCAGCACAGATAATACCGTAACAGTGTATTTGGCTCGGTCATGCGGCTATCACAGGAACGGTAAGTCGAGCACCAACACACAGGGAATGTTAGTGCTTAAATTGGCATGGCAAAATGGCTAGCACATTTCCTTAAATACGACGAATGCTCCAGCAAAACCCACACACACTGGCTGACAAAATCACACTAACAAGTACAACGCAACAGCCATAGCGGGGCTGGCATGCATGGCAAAACAATTCTTCGGCACACGAACGCGAAAGCTCGTCGTATCGTTTAACCCAGCCTGCAGTGTCTAACACGCTTGCTGGCAACCGGCAGACGTCTACTATCGTAACCATCTACATCCAGCAATCGACGGCAAGTCCATAAGATACGAAGCGTATATATCTATAACTTCTAGCACATCTGTACGCCGATACCAAAATAGGCGCATTTCGTCTCCGCTCCCAAGCCAAAGTCGCCCGACCACGGCCACCGCGAACGCGCGACGGTGCGGTCGACACACAACTAGCAGTGTTCATGCCAGTCACAAGATGGCACTAGCATCGGCGGGTAACAGCAACACGGCCGGTCGTCTGTTGCTGATGACGGCGGCGGGTGTGGTCCTGCGCTGAGGGTCCCGCGGGCTAGGGACACCTTCATCGCACCCGGAGAGGAGGCAATGCGGCACTACCTAGGAAGAGCAACAGGCGAGAACATGGTACAGATGCGACGAGTCGTTAGTAGATGGCCTACGGGGGACTAACGAGACGTTAGTGGATGGCCTACGAGGGACGGAGAGAGAGAGAGAGAGTCAGAGAGATAAAGAGAGAAAGGGTGATGATGGGGTCCGTACACGAGGAAAGCAGGAAGCTTGATGACGCTTCACGCTGCAGCGACCAAGTCCCCATGGAACGCACTGAGAAGAACTGGTCTAACACACTGGTCTCCCGTAAGGTGATTCCTCGTTCATTTCGGCCAAAAGCAAAGTAACGAGGTACGCGTATAAGAGTGACGTCACATATGAAATCATGACGTCAGTGTGAAGTCTAAAGCAAGTTGCACTAGGGCTGACGCTCTACCAGATTAGAAGCCAGCGTAAAGCAGATAATTTTTGTGTGTACGAGCCCCAGGTCATCAGAGAATTTAGCACAGAAGAAAACGATGGACCGAGAAATCATATTATCCACAAAAGTTGGTTGCATATGATATACAGTCAGTACGAGGTCTTTGATACATTTGATAATGAAGTGACGCATGTAAACCACAAGCTTACCCGGAGACATGCTCAAAGGAAGACAATGAACATAGGAAGCATGCTGAAAAGGCGCAGTAGCTCACGAATGAGCTACGGTCATGAAGGCCATATGTCAACGACCTGTACCGCAACGGCATCAGGGCATCATTTTCGTTAATCAGGATCAAATGAATAGGACATCTGGCTCTGCCTCCCTGCAGAGACCTGCACGAGCTCTGAATGAGCTGCGACCGGCTCTGATGGATGGGCAACCAGCCAGTCCACGAACATGCAGCAACCAGCCTCCAACGAGCGTACACCAGCCAGCACCGGACGGCAAGAGCACAAAGACGGAAGCACCCAAAGCCAATCCCCAAGAAAGGCACGAGTGGAGAACTAGCAATAAGCTCAGTCAGGGGAACAGCCAACACCAACGGATCGAGCCCCCGCCAGAAGCCAGCACCGCAGGCCGCCGGCCAGCAGCAGGCCAGCAGGACGGGCCAGCAGGTCACAGCACGAGGGCGGCCAGCACGAGCAGCACGGCCAGCAGGGCGCACACGGCCGGCAGCGCGCCCAGCCCCAGCAGCTGCAGCATGCAGACCAGCAGCGAGCCGGTCAACCAGAGGTCGGAGGTCAGCTCACCTTTACGGCCCGGCTCGGCGGCCGGATCAGGCTCGGCGGCGGCGGCTCGCGATCGCCGCTGCTCCTCGCCAGAGGCCGGCGGTCGAGGCGCCGGTGAAGGCGGTCTGGCTGGCGAACACAGCCCAGCTGGCGGCGGCGTTCCGGACGGCGGCGACGGTCCAGTCGGCGCAGGGCGGGCGGGCGGCGCCGCGCAGGTGGCGCTGGCGTCGCCGGACGGACGGCGCGCGGCCAGGCTGTCGAGTGCGGCGATGGCGCGCGGAATGCGCTCCGAGTCGAGCTCGGCCAGCGCCGCCAGCGTCTCGGTGAGCCGCGGCGGCCGGTGCTGCCGCCTCTCGGACGACACGGGCGGCTGCTCCTCCACGCGCAGCGTCTCGAGCAGCTCGTTCAGCTGAGCGTCGGAGGCCGAGCGCGGCGTGGCCGGCGGCGAGGCGGCCGGCGTGAAGCTCGGCGTGGAGGGCGGCTCGGTGGCGGCGCGGCCACCTCCCGTCGGCGTCGCCGCCTCGCCGTCACCGGGCGCCGACGCCACGCGCGAGAAGGGGCGCACCCGGACGGCGAACTCGCCGCCTCCACCGCTGGCCGGCCGCCGCTGGCCGAGCTCCGTCAGCGTCTCGGTGCTGGTGGTCACTGATGCTGAGCACGCCGCGCCGGCGCCGGTGCCAGCGTCGGCACCGCGCCCCGTCTCCGGCTCGCTCAGGTTACCCACGTACAGGCTGTAGAGGCCGAAGGTGCGCTGCGAGTCGGGCCGCTGGTGCAACGGGTGGGGACGCCGCGCCGCCACGGCTGCCGCCGCCGCCGCCGCCTCTGTCTCCAGCTCACAGTCAGAGACTGAGTGGCCGCCGCAGACGCAGAGCGAGAGCGGCCGCGCGTCCGGCTGGCGCGACTGCCGCTGCACGAGCAGCGACAGGTCGTCGGAGAGCGTGCGCGTGGCACGCCGCTTGCCGATGCGGTCCGTCTCGCGGATGAGCGCGTCCAGCGCGTCCGTGTTGATCGTCTCCGGCGACGACTCCTTGGCGTCCTTGCGCAGCGCGCGGAACGCCAGGTCGTCCGCCACGAGGTCGGGGTTGCGCCGCGGCCGGAACGTGGCGCGCGTCTTGCCCTGCGGCGGCGCCACGTGCAGGTAGTCGGACGCCGCCGCCGGGCACGTGGGCCCCAGCGGAATGCCAAACGGCGGCTGCGGGTCGATGACCTTCAGCGCGTTGGCGTGGCGGTTGTTGCGGAAGGTGACGTCGTCATAGGTGACGTCCGGCTCGCGCTCGCCCGGCACGGTCGGCTCCTGACGCACGTTGTCCAGGCTGACGGTGGGCGAGAGCACGGGCGACACGAGCAGGTAGCTGCCGCCACGCGACAGCACGTTGTCCAGCACGGGGTTCTTCTCGTTCTGGCGCAGCCGGCGCGTGTACACGTCGTCCTCCTTCTTGTCGGGCACGGCCGAGCGGCGCAGCGCCGGCGCCCGCTGGCGGCTCAACTCAGAGCCCAGCGAGCTCACGCTCTGCCAGCGGTCGACGGGCAGCTCTTCCGAGGAGAGCGTGCGGTTCAGGTCGGGCTCGTCGTCGTCGGCGGCGGCGGTGCCGTCGCCGGGCGGCGCGCGCCACATCTCCTGGTGCGGGGTGGGCAGGTCGCGCCGCTCGGCGCGGTCGAGCAGGTCCTCGTCGTCGAGCTTCAGGCTCTTGTAGATGGCCTCCAGCTCGTCGAGCGCCTCCTCGAAGTTCTCGGAGCGTCGCGGCGCCTGCGCAGAGACGGGCCGGCGCGGCTGCGGCGGTTGCGCGGAGGCCGACCGCGGCGCCGCGTCGCGCTCGACGCTGCGACGCGCCGCGGCCGGCTCGGCGCGCTGCTCGGTCACCATCGACAGAGGGCGCCGCTCGGCCGCGCCCGGCCGGCCCGGGCGCGCTGACTCGCTCGCGCGCGACCGGCCCAGCACAGAGTCCGAGTCGTGGCAGGAGAAGCTCGTGTTCTGGCTGCGCGGCGCCGAGATCTCGGAGAGGCTGGAGTTGAGCGAGTCAGGCGGAGGCGAGAGATGCGGCTTGGGCGGCCGCGGCGGCGGGGGACTCTCCGCGGCCGGCGCGCGCTGCTCCCGCACGCGCCAAAACTCGCCTGCGCTCTTGGGCGCGCCGTTGGCGACCGCTGGCGGCGCCGTTTGCGAGTCGCTCATGAACGCACTGTCCTGGCTAATGCAGCGAGTGCGACCGCGCACCGGCGCCTGGTCTGTGTAGCTGCGCACCTCCGCCGGCACGGCGCGCGCCGGCGCCGTGTCCGTGTAGCTGTACACCTGCTCGGCGGAGCGGTGCGCCGCGGCGCGCGGGTACAGCTGCTGCTTGTACATCGCAATCGACTGGTCCGAGCCCGACAGGTGCGCGCCGAGTTTGCCGCGCGGCGTCGCCGAAACGTGGCCGGGCACGGAGCGCGCGCTGAGACTGCCGCCAGGGGGCCGTCCGTCCGTCACCGTCACCAGGTGGCAGCGATTGGGCGCCGCCAGCTGCTCGAACGAGTAGGACACCGGGCGCGGCTCGGGGAACATGGTGATCCTGATGCGCGGGTCGCGCGGCGGCGGCGGCGGTGGCCGGTGTGAGCGCCGCGCCGGCGACGCCGCCTGCGGGCTCAGCGGCTGCGCCAGTCGCGGCGCGCCGGCCGCCGGCGCCGGCAGCGGGTAGCGCTCGTCGCACGGGTGCAGGAGCGACGGCGAGGCGGCGCGCGCAGTCCACACCGTTCGCCACGCCGAACGCGGCGCCGTCTCGCCTCGCTGGCGGAGAGGCGACACACTGCGGCCGCGGCCGCGGCGGGAAGGCGCCGGCCGTCGGCGGCGGCGGCGGCGGCCGCGTGCCGTCCGCCTGCTGACAGAACACCGTCGCCGCCCACTTCTGCGCCGGCTCGTCGCGCCGTCGCTCGTTCGCCTCCTGCTGCAGGCTCGCCTCGTCGCGCGAGCGCCGGCGGATGTAGCGCTCGGTGCGCGCCGCGCGCGAGCGCCGACTGAGCGAGCCGTCGCGCGAGATGCTCAGCTCGCTGGGCGCGCGCTGCAGTGGCGGCTCGTCCTCCTCCGAGCTGGCCGTGTGCGAGCGGCGCGCCTCGACCCGGGCCTTGACGGCGCTGCGGCGCGAGCGGCGCCCGCCGCCGGCCGTCGCCTCCGAGCCGCTGCTCATGCCGGCGCGCGGCCCGTCCAGGCTCTCGGCGCTGCCCGCCGGCCGCTGGCGGCCGTAGCAGGAGAGCGGCGACGGCGGCGCGGCCGGGCGCAGCAGTGCCGTCTCCTGGCGGCGCGCCTCGGCCGCCTCGTCGCTGCTGCTGTCGCTGCTCGCCTTGCGCCGGCGGAAGAGCGTGTTCCAGCCCCAGCGGCCCTTCTTCTTGGCCGGGCTGGCGGCGGCGGTGGTGGCAGTGGCGGCCGACGCCGGCGCCGGCTCGTGTGCCGTCGGAGGCGTGAAGAAGGAGGCCGGCCGGTAGCCGGAGAGGCTGGCCGGCGGCGCTCCAGCGCCCCTCACCCGCTCACCATTCTGCATGGCCGGAGCGCGCTCCACCGGCCTGCCGCGCGTCCCATTCGTCACAGTCTGGAAAGAGAGGAGAGACTCGGTCAGCGCTGACTAACGCGGAACACACCGCCGCGCCCGACCCACGAGCGACACGACGCCGCGAATCAACACTCAAACGCGACCCGCCTCACAGTACGCGGCCTCGCCCGGGCGGCCCACGCCGGCGCCGCCTCACACGTCAAACACGCCGAGCCGTCAACACACCCGGCCGGCCGCCGCCGCCGCCACCGCCGGAGGTCGCGCCGCTCGCCGCTGCCGCCCACCCGACCCGAAATAGAGCCGGCCGGCCGGGTCAGGCCGCGTCGGCGCCCGAGGCCCGCGGCGGGAACAATGCCCGCCCGACGAGAACGTCCGCGCGGCGCGCCCGGTCCGGCCCGGCCCGGCCCCGGCCCCGCACCGGGACGAGGTCAGACGCGCGGCCTTTGCGTGTCACTCCGGCGCCGGCTCAAACAGCCGCACCGCGGCGCCGGCGCTGGCAGACCGCCCGCCCGGCGGACCGGGCACCGGCCCGAGCTCCGATCGGGGCGCTGCGGCCGGGCCGCGCCGGGCTCCGACCGAGCCTATCAATCGGCACGGACGTGCTTTGAGCTCAGCGTAGCTGTGGCCGCTGATCGGCCCGTGGTTCAGCTCGCGCTCGGGTGATAGAGCTGTGGCTGTCGGGTCGCAGCCTGGCACCGACGGCAGCGCCAGCCACGGCAGTGGCGCGGTATTGGGGTTTATGGCCTCATCGGCCGCATGGTAACGTGAAAGCGATGGCGAAACGGCGCCGGCCGCCTCGCTGGACAGCGGTCTGGCGATGGCGCAGACAGGTAACAATAATGGCGCAGCATTCGAATAATGAATGCCGCACGAATAAGTCATGCAAAATAATGGTAAAAAGATACGGCACTCGAATACGATGGACGGACAGCGCTTAACCATCATCCGGTTCTATCCCGATAGTAGGCGGGTTGATAGCTTTCTGAGCTGGTCACGACTTCATGTTCATGACCTTCCCGGCTCCCCTCGGTCCCAGAACACACATGTCAGCAAGGGTTGAGGCTTAGCGCAAACCCCTGCATTACCTGCCGCGTGGCTGAATGACTAACGACCCGGCACGGGTGTTTGTCGACCGGGGCAGGTCCGCCTGGTCGGGACGGCGGGGGGGGGGGGGGGGTAACGGGCCAGGGTGACCGGCGGTGATATTTCGGGCCGCTCGGCTATATCGGGCGTCCCGCCGCGCCCCGGAACACCGACTGACACAGCGCGGAGCGACTCAGGGCCGGCAGAGCGGCGTCAGGGGTCAGAGGCCCCGCCGAAAGACCCCAGACATGGCCGACTCCCGCGCCGGGGATACAGACAGGGCCATGGCTGCTGCCGCCTGCCGGCTACGGTGGCAGCACATGGCTGCTGGGGATCTATGTATACAGTGCGATGAGTCTTTTACGCTAAAAATAACCGGCCTTCAAAATACCAGAAGGTCCTGGTAGGATGAAGACATCAAACAACCATTAGGATACATTAGGGGAACGTAATATTACCTCATGACAGTTTAATATCTTCCCTAAACAAGTACCGGACTATGAAATGAAGACCGGTTATTTGCAGCACGGAACTTATGATGTCGAAAACCCAGGAGCTCAGGGCTAATCTTGCTCACATCACAACAGAAGCTGAGGTTCCGCCCAGCTGCCAAGTCCGGCCCAGCAGGACGTAGCTCCTGGAGTTGGGTACCATGGCGGAACGTAACTGGTGAGGGTGTGACTGATGATGATGCACAGTGCCAAGGCAGAGCTGCTGAGCATGGACGGCGCATGCAGCGGCAAGACGTCCCTTCTCGAGACACGGAACAATTCGACACCGTAGCACCGAGCAGACCACACAGGCGACAACATTGGAAAAGATACAGTGATGACAGCGATGACAGGCACCGAACGCGCCACTTCATGTCATGCGTTGTCAGCGGCAGCGACAGCGACAACACGGCGGCGAGACGCCCGCGGGGAGCAGCCAGCCAAGCAGGCGGCCGGCGGCAGGGCGCCCGGCACGCCGGCGGGACTGAGCCACCGCGGCCGCCGCCTGCGTAGCCGACGGAGACGGATGCATCGCAGCGGCGGATGGACTCACGCCTGCGGCGGTCCAGGCAGAGACAAATGCGCCGACTTCGCCGCGCTGTCCGCCGCGCGCGTCGGCCGGCGACAGGTGCGGAACATCCCAGGCTCACTGCAGCGAGCGGTGCGCAGCGTGCACGGCGCACAGCTGTCGGTGGCGCGGCGGCCGGCGCCGAGTCAAAACAGCGCCCTCACCACTGCTCCGGGGCGCGCGGACGCCACGCACGGCGGCGGGCAGGGCCGATCTCCGCAGCAGGCACAGCACGCGTGGCTGAGCCGCGCTCGAGACGGCGGCAGTGACACGGTCGGTCTGGCGACGAGCCGCGCCCGCGTGGACGCTGCGAGGAGCATCGCGCGGGTGACCTTCGACTGTCGCGGCGCCACAGATGGTGGACGGCAATTATCTGACAGTGGGGCACAGCTGTACGGCGTCATCATCACGGCCAGCTCGAGTCTGATGGCCATCAGCTGTGGCGCCACTGTCCCGGCCGGGGACGGCCTTCACGACGGGCTGGACGACGAAATCCGATATTAGAAAAGCCCACCAAAACCGGACACCGAAAAGTCTCCTGGGGCGACAAGATCAATCTCTCCGTGACGCAAGGGTGTGTGACTCACTGGGTACGTGCCGGCGGCCCGGTCCTGCTCCGGCCACATCGGACAGCACGGCTGGGGGCTCCGAGAGTAAACACCGACCTCCGCCGCTGCTCTCCAATCTCACCGGCGGTGAGCACGCGACCACGCTCACTTTCGACTGCTCACTGGCGGCTGGGCGGCCGGGCGGTCCGCCGGACCAGCGTCCCCTGTCGGGACCGGGGGCGGCGCGTCCCCTCCCCCCGCCGTCTCCCCTCAGCCTGCGGTTTTTACCCGGCTTCGGCTAACCACCGGTGCGTCGAGCCGCCCGGCTTCCCAGGCGGCCGGCGGCTGCCGCGCCGCCCGGGGCGCGCCGGCGCGAGTACGCACGTCGTGCCGCCCGGCTACCGTACCCACGCGCACAAACACGCCGGCCCTGACACTTGCGCTCGCCCTTCGCAGGTCCGGGCGACCTCACACGGCGCGGCGCAGGACAGAGCGTGGAGGACGCGGGAGGACAGAGCGGCACGGAGACCACCGTCTCTCGAGCGCGAGGGACGGCCGTAAAAACACGGGGCGCGACCTCCGGCGGCGCGGAGCCGACGCAGGTCGGCGGCGGCGCGCGCCCTGATCAGCCGGGCCGGCCCAGACGCAAAGGTCCGTCCAGAAAGCAAAAACGGCCGGACGTCGCCGGGCCTTCACACATACAAAAGAGCCGACGGCCGGCGGTGGGAGCGACGCACGGCAGACGGGCGGCAAAACAGGCCGTCCCGCCGCCGCCGGCGGCGATCGTGACTTACCGACCATGACGCCGTGTCCGTCAGCATGCTCCCCGCGTGGCGCCGTCGCGAAACACGCGCCGCACGCGGCGCGACCCCCGTCACGGGTCACTCGGCGCATCAAAAGTGCCGCCAACAATTGAGGACAGCTCGCAGCGCGCGGCCGCCCCGCTCGCCGGAGAAAGTAACCTGGCGGGCGGCGGCGGCGGCCCGCGAGCCGTCGCCGCTGCGCGCGTGACGTCACAGCCGGACGCCAGCTGACCGGTGCAGGTTGCCAGATGCCGCCGCCGCCGGATGTCGGGCTACGCTTCCCGTTCGTGTTGGGCGGACGGCAGCAGATGCGACCGGCAGGGATGAGTGGCAGGTGAGGAGGTGCGCCGCCCGGCTTAGCTGCTGGGACGGCTGCCGAGACTGCTGCTGGGACAGCTGCTGAGACTGCTGCTCGGACGACTGATCAGACCGCTGCTCATACGGGTGCTCAGCCGGCTGCTGAGACAGCTGCTGAGACAGCTGCTGAAACAACAGCTGCTGAGACAGCTGCCGAGGCTGCTGCTGAGACGGGTCCAGGGACGGCTGGACCGGTGGAGGTGCCAGTGTAGGAGAGGGAGGCGCAAGGGACGAGCGGGCAGCCGCTATTCCGTGCATCCCACTCGTCTTCAGCTTGACAGACACGGCATTACCGGAGCTGCATTCTTCATACAGCGCCAAGGACACGGTCACGCACCACACGACTAGTCACAGGATCAGGGATCAGATGTGGTGCTGAGCAGGTACCTACATTCAGCATGCGTTCAATGGTCCGGTCAAAACGGAACGGTCTCTGACAGGCCGAGAAAGCCAAATTACACGTGTTCCTTTGGCATGCCCAGATAACAGCAGAGATCGTTCGAGGCACTTCTGTTCCATTTAAGTCAAAAGAGCTTATGCGGCAGTTTCCCTCCGGCAGCATCTCAACGCGCTGTACCCGACATCGAGGGCATAATGCGTCTTTCTCTACTTTTGTATTCAGGTCAGAACCACCGCGCAGTCACCCCCGGTTTCATCAGTTGACCTCGTGCGGTCGGTCTGATGGAGCCTGCGCGACGGCGCAGGCCACCGGTCCGTCCCTCACGGATCGGCAGCAGCATTCTTCCGAAGCCTCCACCGACGTCGGCTCTGTGTTACTGCCCATTGTGTGTGCTGATGAGGTTTGGGCTCCG